AGTACACCAACATACAGACAAGAATTTTAATTAAATCAAGCACCCAAGCATTATACACAACACGTCAAAGCTATACAAGTGATATTGAAGTAAATATAAGTAAATTGAGATGATTAAAACACACCTTCGGCGAAGAGGTAACCGTCAGCTTGTTCGGAGCTGGAGGTGGAGAATGGCGCATTCTAGAGGGGAAATTGAAATAGGGTTATTGTATTGAGGTATATAAGGAAATTTTGTATAAAAAAGATTACAAAATATCAGAATTTGGCTAATTGAGTTCAAAAATTTCTTTTGATTTTATGTGCAGAATGAATGAAAAGTTATTTATGTGCTTTGATTGAAAAAATAGTCTATTGGTGAATCTCAAATACAGGAAACTCAGTATATTTTTGTGTGAACTTTATTCATTTAGTTTTTCTGATGTTTGTTTTAAGATTTAGAGACTTGTTTACTTATTTGTTTTCTCTTTGCTGGTAATTGTCCTCTTTTGCAGGAGATTCAACTCGAATATTTGTTTACTTGTAAAAACATATGAGACGATTTTTCTTGTTAGTTCATCAATGTCAATTTTTGCCCACAGCTAGCGAACTCTCTTTATCTGACAGCTGGTTAAAAGTATTGGCAATTTTATTATTGTAACTTGAAGTTCTATTCAATTCATTCTCAAGTTCTATAGCTAGAACTCATATTATTTTGCTGGGGGATTACAGTTTTTATACCATTAGAAACACTATTCAGATGTGCAGATTGGTTAATGTCAGGAAGGACTATTTTAATTTACTATATGATTAAGAGCCTGATATAGTAGCCTTGGAGCAATCTTGTACTGAAGCCATGAATTTTTCTAAAGAAAACAGTCAAGAAAAAGGTAGGATGAATTCATTATTGAAGAGCTTAAAGTTCGAATTCAAGATGCAGAGGAATTATTCCTACTTTGGTCTCCTCTAACCTTTTTCCCATTTCCTATATAAGCTTTCTGGGTCCTGTTGCGTTGATTTTATTCCGATTTTTAATGGGTTCTTAGATTAAAGATACGCAGTTAGTGACGGAGTCAGTGAAGAGCATGGAAATAGAGTACATTAACATATTGCTATTGCCAATGCTCAGTACTGATCTTGAAGTTAAAGGAACGTACTTCCCGTTGTTGAAGCTTTCGTCAAAAGATTCTTTAAGTTGATTGTTCTCTTTGCTTCTCCGGAGGTTAATTACTCTGTAGCTGGTACTTTGCTGATACCAGTTTGCCCACATTATTATTTTTCAGGTAACTAATAATGGGTATCTCGTTATTGTAATTGTAATTGAATTTTTCAGGCAAGACTCCCTAGTTTGGAGAGATTGCTAATCAGTCATGCTGATGACTGATGAGTTGATGTTTAGAATGCTTGAATCTTGTTTCTTCTATTTTATGAATTCAATATGCTATGTTTATGATTGCAGAATATGCAGGGTTCTAAGGAAAGATGGAGGTCATTCTTCGTATGCAAGCTGGAATCTGTTATACATTTTTTGAGATACACTGCGGTTCTAATTTCCTGAAGATGAAGAGGGACTTTGTTTCTGCTATCTTCACTGATGTTGTCTTGAAATTTGGTTGAATAATAGAGCGCCCCCGGGTTGCACATTCATCTTTCTGATTTCTCAGGTGGTGAAATTATATTGATATTTTCATCAAAGAAAATAACCATTGTTAGTCTAACCCATTATCTAATATACAAAATCTAACAAAAAGACACAAAAATCATTATGTCATATCTAATGATAAATAAAATAAACAAAACATTTATTAGATACAATAAATATAAAAAATCCAAAAAATGTTTACGTTGTCCCTTTGTTACCCATGGTCAATTGTAATATTATGTGATACCAAAAATATACTCTTTTGTATTTTTTTTTGTAATCTAATTAAATTTTAGCGCATTTTCAACTTTACCTTTCTATCTAATGGATTAAATTAACAACAGTTATTGGATGAAAATGTCTCTATATTGTACCGGTTGGGTTTGTAATATAATCCCTAAGTCTAATTGTTACTTACACTAAACCTGGAGGGTATTTATGTTTTAAAGTTGGGAGATAATAAAATTTTGCAAGGCATAGGAAGAATGTTCAAGCTTTCACTTATATTACTCATAGTAAATATTAAAGTAGTCTGGGAGTTTTTAAAGTCAGGCAATTAGTAAAATTATCATTTGTATTGCAGTTTAAAGTTATTTTTAGTATTCTTCGACCATATGATAAAAGAGTTCTAAGGAAGATTTTAGCTCTTTACCTTTCATTTGGGATAGATTTTTGCAATGATGGAACTGGAATTTTATTAAAGTTGAATGATGGAGGTGCCTTAGTTTCCACTTCGTGTCACACCGCGTTAATTAATTAATTAAATTGTCACTAAACTTAACGTTAAGGGATTATATCTCTAAATTGGGTATTATAACTAATAAAAAATAACATTTCAGACAATAAACAGTTATTGTTGTTTAACATTAGAGTTAAATAAAGTTTATCACTTAAGATCATTTCTAAAGTATAGGCCTTGAAACATGTTTAGAGTAATATTTGTCGAAGGACTTACTTCACTCCTGGATATATAATTAACAAGTGCATTTATAATATGTGTTTTAACCCTACGTGGTGTATGATATTCATCTTCCATATACAGTTAATAACCGGCACGAATCATGGAAATTCCATGGAGGTCATGTTGATTGTCTCATGCTGATCTTGGCGGCCTCAACAGTATCACCGGATGTGTCATTGTCGGTGTTGGCAGTTGTTGCAAATTTTTGATTCTTTAAAAAGAATGTTTACTAATTGATTTAATTAATTAATTTTTAATACAAAGTTATTTTGTAATCTGAAATATTATACATGGATATAATAGCCATTGTCCTTCTAAACAATTAACTTTAAAAATAATTTAATTTTCAAATTCTTTTATAAAATTTATTATTTTATAATCAACTTGAAAATTAATTAGTATCTGAAATTAAATTCATGTGTTTAATCCATTATGATTTCACATGAGAAGAACAAGGTCATACATATTTCGAGTTAAATAGAGACAATTTTTTCAAGTAATAATCTACCAATCTCATCAGATTAATCAAGTTTCTAGAACAAATGTACACTAATTGTTTCCTTTACAGCAATCTTCCTCTTTGAGAAAAGTTTTGGCGTGGGAATAAAAAGTGATTTGATAAAAAGTGATTTGATAAAAAGCGATTTGATAAAAAGTGATTTAAAATGGTGAGAGAATAGAATTTGGTTCTTTAAATTTCATTCCGTGTAGAATTATTGCATTGGTGGAGCCAAATATTCTAACAAAAGCAGCAGACAATATTCTTTTCTTTTCTTGTGAATAAAATAAAGTGCTAACTTTATTAAAGATAATTCTTTGTAAAAGTTTAATCAGTTGTAAGAGTTTATTTATTATCTTATTTACTTTGCTTTATGTTGAAAGCAATAATAGGAATAGTCTCCTCAATAATATAATTCAAAATGGATACAATCAAATCTACATTCAAAATTTGTTAGCTTTTGTTTTTTGCTAGTTTTCCAACAATCAATATATGAAAGCATTTTTTTTTTTATATATAATAATTTTAATTCAAGCAAATATTATTGTTAAATATCAATATAAATATGTGGTATATATTTTTTGTTTTGTTTTTATATTTTATACATTAATTTGTATTTTTAAGAAAGAAAGAATGATTTGAAAGAAAAAATTCCTGTCCTAAATAATATACTCAGTACGTTGTAATTCTCTTATCCATAATTATCAATTATCATACTAAGATAATATAAAAGATGGTCTAGTTGTATATACAGTATATGTTAATTTCACTACTATTATAACAATTTTATGATATAATATTGTTTAAAAAACGCATTATATATATTAATGAACATATGGAAGAAAAATATTATTTATTATCATTAATATGGGAATTAATGTTATACATACCAACTTATGTATGATACTAACTTTGTTTATCTCATGTGACAATTGCTTTGTCAAATTATTTTAATTATCTCGTCATCTTAGGGAGAGATATATCAAATCAATTACCACATAGGTTCAGTATATAGATTTGGAACATAAAATAAAAGACTGAAACAAAAAAAAATTTAAACTTGTAAGTCCTTATGCCAATTGTCTTCTCTAAACATACCTGAAGAGTAAACAAAATACTGAAGTAAGTTAGAACTAAGCACTTAACAGATGATACTAGTCGAATATGAAAACTAATCGACGGCTGTCATTTACATGCAACATTGTTGAAGTCTACATCAGTGGCTTATTCTTACATCATATCATCATTCACAGCTACCACAGAACTTTTCGTTTGGTTCCTTCCTTGAGCACCTTTGCCTTGCTTCTGAACCTCAACACGGTATCTTAATTTCTTCTTGTCATTTTTCTTTCTTTAGGGTTTTTCCTTATTTCCCCTGCTTTGTCATTTTGTTAGTGTTCCTTTGCAATTTTAAGTTTTGTTGAGATTTTCTTTTTCCAAAGTTTTTGTTAATTATCTTATTAGTTTTTATTTTGCATATTTTATTTGCTTTGTTCAGCGCTATTTTTCTTGAATATATTTTACTTTTGCAAATATTTTATAGCTCTTCAAAAATAAATCTTTTTTTTTTTCAGAATCCCACCAAAAAAAAACTTGTTTGATGTATAGATCGTCTTAATTTATTGTGTTGAAAACGAAATTTATCTGGGTTCATAATTATTTTTCTAGTATTGAAAATTAATCAAAAATTTCCTTTTGTTTGTGTCAATTTTCTAATTATTTCTCAATCTTGTTTCTTTTTCTTCTTATTCTAAATATTCATATCTTTGAAAGACCGGCCAGGACAAAACTCTTTTTTTTGTTTCAAACACTGCTTATTCAACAAGGCTTTGTTGATTGTCTACCTTAAATTTTGTTGTCTTTGGTGACTCGGGTTCGGATTCGCTTCGTTGCAACCCAAAAAAAAAAAAAAAAAGAGCAATGGCTGCTGAACTAGGTAGCGCTACAGTTTCTGGCGTTGCATCAAAAGCTGCCGAGTCAGCGTTTGATTCCATTGGGCAGCATATATCTTATTTGTTTAAGTACCAGAGCTACATTGATGATCTCAAGAATCGAGTTGTGGATCTGGGAAATGCAAGAGAGAGGGTGGAACATCAAGTTGATGAAGCTAAAAGACGAGGGGAATCAATTGAAAAGGAAGTGGAGCTATGGCTTGAAAGAGTAAATGAGTTCACTGAAGGGGTTGTAAAACCCATAACTGGTGGTGAAGATAAAGCAAAGAAGCGTTGTTTCATAGGGTTGTGTCCTAATTTGATTCAGCGTTACATGCTTGGCAAGAAGGCAGCAAAAGCGTTACCAGGTGGTGAGTATCTCTCGGGAAAGGGGAACTTCAGTAGTGTTTCCTACCGTCCTCCAATACAGAAGACAGGATCCGTTTATATTAGAGGCTACGAGGCCTTTAATTCTCGGAAGAAAGTTCTACAGGAAATTATGGAAGCATTGAAGGATGCTAATGTTGACATGGTTGGGGTGTACGGGATGCCTGGTGTGGGCAAAACTACATTGGTGAAAAAAGTAGCTTGGCAGGCCAAGGACGATAAGTTATTTGATGAGGTGGTCATTACTACTGTAACACAGACACCAGACATTAAAATAATCCAAGGAGAAATTGCTGATCAATTAGGCCTAACATTTCGTGACGAGAGTGTATCGGGAAGATCTCATCGGCTACGTGACAGGTTGAAGAGGGAGAAGAGGATTCTAGTAATATTAGATGATATATGGGCCAAACTTGACTTGGATGCTGTTGGAATTCCTTATGGAGATGTTCATAGGGGGATTGGCCAAGGAAAAGGAGATTGTAAAGATAGAAAAGATGATGAGAGGCGATACAAGATATTGCTTACGTCTAGAGCTCAACATGTATTATGCAATCATATGAATATTCGAAAGAACTTCTTGGTTGATCTTCCATCGGATGAAGAAGCATGGTCTTTGTTTCGAAAGATTGTGGGCGATTCTGTTGAAACTTCTGGTTTTCGAACTATAGCCGCAGAGCTGGTCAGGAAATGTGAACGTTTACCGATTGCTATTGAAACGGTAGCAAAGGCTCTAAAAAGTCAGAGTCTTCCAATTTGGGAGGATGCCTTGCGTCAACTTACAAGGTCTAATCCCAGGCACATTGAAGGAATCGTTAAAAATATTGGTTCAATTATAGAATTGAGCTACAATTTTTTGGAAAGTGAGGAAAAATCACTATTTCTTCTCTGTGGTTTGTTTAATGCAAGTCGTGGTATAGTCATTAAAGACTTATTAAAATATAGTATGGGTTTGGATTTGTTTCGAGATGTTTGTACCGTTGAAGATGGAAGAAATAGATTGATTACGTTGATCCATAATCTCAAAGCTTCATCTTTGTTGTTGGATGGTATCACCAATGATTCCGTTAAAATGCATGACATCATTCAGGCTGTTGCTATATCAATTGCATACTTAGATAAAGACACGCCTCAGTTTACTATTAAAAATGCTGGTGATTTGAAAGAAGTGCTGGAGGAAAAAATACCCAAAACTTCAACTGCTATAACTTTGCCCTATGGAGATATTGGTGATGAGCTTCCTCAGAGTTTGGAATATCCGAAACTCAAGTTGTTTTATCTATTAAGCCGAAATCACTCTCTACAAATCCCAGACCTCTTATTCCAAGGGATGAAAGAACTTGAAGTTTTGGATTTGACTGGAATTCGTTTCCGGCCACTTCCTTCCTCACTCTGCTGCCTAAAAAACCTTCAAACACTCTGTTTGGATCAGTGCCTACTAGAAGATATAGCCATAGTTGGAGAGCTGAAGAAGTTAGAAATTCTTAGCCTGCTTTATTCTGACATAGAAAAGTTGCCTGGAGAAATTGGACAATTGACTCGGTTGAAGATGCTAGATTTGACCAGTTGTTCAAAATTGAAAGTAATTGCACCAAATGTCATTTCAAGCCTTTCCCGATTAGAAGAACTATATATGGGCAATAGTTTCTCTCATTGGGAGATTGAAGGGCTGATCAACAATCAAGAACGAAAGAATGCTAGTGTTCTTGAGTTGAAGCAATTGTCCTGCCTTACTGCTCTAGAGATACATGTTGGTGATCTCCAGATTATACCACAAGACTTGTTTTCAGAGAGGTTGAAAAGATATAAAATACTTATAGGAGATGTGTGGGATTGGAGCTGGTATGCTACTCGTGGTGAAACCTCGAGAATGATGAAAATCAAGCTCAACAACAGTATTTCCTTGATCCATCGAGTCAAAATTTTGTTGAAGAGAACTGAAGAACTCCATTTAGAATTGAATGGTGTTAAAAATGCTATTGATGAATTTGATGAGGAAGGTTTTGCACAATTAAAGCATCTTCAAGTACAAAATGGTCATGAGCTCTTATGTGTTGTTAACGTTGTTCCTAGAAAAACTGTCTTCCCAAAGTTAGAGTCATTGTTTCTTCATAATTTGAGTAAATTAGAGAAGATATGTGATGGCGAACTCTATGCAGAGTCTTTCAGCAAACTAAGAATTTTGAAAGTTGAAAAATGTGATATGTTGGAGCATCTCTTCTCGTTCTCAAAGCATAAAAAGTTTTCGCAACTTCAAGAAATTGAAGTCATTGATTGTAAGAATCTAAAGGAGATTTTTGGTGAAGGCAGTGTAGACTTAATGGTTGAAAATGAAAGGAATAGTAAGTTTGAGTTCGCTCAATTGCTTTCCCTAGTACTACAATGCCTACCACAATTCATAAGTTTTGGCATGAAGGTATTTTTTCTCTTTTTCTTCTTTTATTTTCTTTTCATATATGAAAGATGTTTTGTAATTACTTTCTAAGTTATTTATGGAGCGAGATTTGCTTTTGCAGATTGTATTACCAAGATTGGAGAACTTGAAACTGTCGTCAATTAAAATTGAGGACATATGGGTTGATCAAACTCAATCAATGTCTCCCTCTTTTAAATGCTTAAAAAGTTTAATTGTGGAGGACTGTAATGATCTTAAATTTTTGTTTTCATCCTCTATGGTCAAAAGTTTTATGCAACTCCAGAGGCTTGTGATATGCAACTGTAAGTCAATGGAAGTAGTGATATTGGACTCAGAAGTATTAGAAGTACAAGATAAGATAATTGATATGAGTTTTCCTAAATTGTTTTACCTAAAGCTTGTGGGTCTTCCAAAACTCACAAGATTTGGCACTGGAAATTCAGTTGAATTTCCCACCTTGATTAAACTTCACATTGAGAGTTGCTCTAATTTGAAGACATTCTTNCATCCTCTATAGTCAAAAGTCTCGTGCAACTCCAAAGGCTTGTGATATGCGACTGTAAGTTGATGGAAGCAGTAATTTTTGACTCACAAGGCTTAGAAGGAGAAGATAAGATAATTGATTTGAGTTTTCCAAAACTATTCTACCTAAAGCTTGTGGGTCTTCCAAAACTCACAAGATTTGGCACCGGAAATTCAATTGAATTCCCCACCTTGAATGAACTTCACATTGAGAGTTGCTCTAATTTGAAGACATTCTTCCACAACTCTTTTGGTGTAGACACGCTAAGAAAAGAACCTGACGAAGTGAGCTTGGAAAAACATATTACTGATATAAATCCCCTCTTCAACGAAAAGGTAAAGTTATTTCTTATAATTGAAATTTTATGTTGTCTATTGGCCTCAAAATTTTAAAATTCTTTATAGCTATTAATGTCATCATTATCTGCAAATAATTAGTAGAAATTCACTTATAAATTCTTTTGTTTTCTCTTTTTCTTTTAAGAGAGACAAAAATTTGTTTGATATGTTTTTATCTTATATATTATTTTAGTATCATTATCATTACCAAAACATTAACATGAGCAGATTTTTTTGTAGGTTGCTTTTACAAGCTTGGAAAAGATGATACTCTTTCATTTGGATAACTTGCAGTTGATATGGCACAACCAACTCTATGGAGATTCCTTTTCCAAACTAAAAGAAGTGAGAGTCAAATTCTGTGAAAAATTGATGACTACTTTTCCTTCTAATTCTACTCAAGGACTTCTTACCTTTCAAAATCTAGAAACATTAATTGTTGAGAATTGTTGGTGTATGAAAAGGCTGTTCCCAGTTTCCATAGCTACCGGTCTTTTGCAACTTAAAGAGCTTGAGATTTCCTCTTGCGGGTTGGAGGAAATTGTTGCCAAGGAGGAAGTAAATGACGCCCCTAGTTTTTTGTTTCCCCAATTAACCTTCCTCAGACTTAATAATTTACCAAAACTCATACATTTCTACCTGGGGTTGCATACAATAGAGTGGCCAATGCTTAAACAGTTGGTTGTGTATAACTGTGGAAAGACAAAATTATATGCTTCAGATGGTGAGAGCCAACCTGCCCTGTTTTCGTTTGAAAAGGTATGACTTCGTCTATTGCAACTTAAAAATGCAACATAATCATTAAGGTTAATTTATGAAATTTCTTTCTTTTTGTTATTATTTCATTTTTCTCTTTAAATCAAGAATGAATTTATAGTAACCCACTAGTCATGTTTCAGAGTAAGACATAAATGATTGATTTAGCTACTTGAATATCTATTTATGTTAATTTATATAATTTTTGTACTTTAAAGTAGTTTATAATTAGAATGTCAGAGTTATATTTATTTAAAACATATAATTACTATAATTAATTGGAAAGTTAAATGGTTATAAACAAAATTGCAACTTTCTTCTAAATTTAAAAACCTGACTCATGAATTAATTGATGAATGAATATTTTTGCTTGTTCTTCTTTTGCATTGTTGCTATTAATATGATTATATATATATATATATATATATATATATGACCATCATCACTAATATTTTTATTGTCATTATTTTATTATTTAAAAATGAGTAAGAATACAACGACAGTTCCAAAATCATGACGTGCAAGAGCTATTATCTTCTTCGATAACTAGGCTGTTAAATTCTCAAACTCCTGTTCTTGCAACAATCCATGATCCCGGCCTCCACAACTATTGTAATTAAAAAATTTGTAATTGCAAGATACCATATATCTCAAATCATGTTGTGTGCGTCTATATATATATATATATTATTTGGATCTTTTTTACCAACTTGATATTGAAAAATTATTCTGTAAATTAACGAATGAGATTTCATGTTTGATAATCCAAGAACTCATTCAATATCATATTCAGAAGAATTTCTTGGGAATAAAAAATTTTAGTTTTCTGTTGTAGGTCTTACTTGATTGGGTCCAAAAGCTGTAATGCAAAGGTTAAAAGTATCAGAACTACTTATAACTAAACAATATATATAAAACCTAACCAAATGAGAAAATAAAAACTAAGAAACAAAATCATATATATTTTTTTTTCTTGTGAAAAATTGTGAAGATAAGATCATTTTTTTTTTTTTTTTTACCTTATACAGTTATTATTTCCTTTTGCATTTTATAGAAGTGGATATAATTTTTCATGTCTATTAAATAGCAGAAAATTATTGTTAAATTGTTTGACGTATTTTGTGCATAAGTTTTGGGTGATTTTAATTATTCGGTACATAAACATAATATGACATGTTCATGGTACCAATTCTGTGGCATTGCTACTAATTATCTTACAATTGAGGTGATATATGTATTTTGTGTTGCATACTTGCCTGTAAAAGATAGTCACCAACTGAAGTTTTTTCTCTTTTCAAACCGAATGGCAGTAAACTAAGTGGTTGGTCTTTTTTTATTGATTAGATATTATTGATTTTTGTGAATTAAGAAGTTCATTTTTGTTAGCTTATGTATTTTTTTATTTTTTTGAAGTATATTTATTTAAAACATATAATTAATTTAATTAATTGGGGAAGTTAAAAATTTCACCGATTTTGTACTGATTACAAGTTCCTTTTTCAAATTTGTCTCTTCCTAATACAATTAGTTTCTTTTTTTTTCTTAAAACAAAAAAATTAGGTCAGATAGTTTTGCTTGCTTATGGTTTCCTAAAAGTTAATCAAAGGAACTGACTTCTTGTTGGTCAATAACATGATATGCTCAGTAACACCTTCTTGCTTGTTCATCCAATTTGACTTACAGGTCATGCCCAATTTGGAATCATTGTCTTTAAATGTCGATGCCTTTAGACTGCAAACAAAAAGACCATTGGAGGGATTCTGCAAACTAAAAGAACTTTGTTTGCGTGAATTAAATGATGAATCAATTCCATTTTTCTATGGCTTCCTCAAAAGGTTATACAATTTGGAAATCCTTAATCTACATGATATTAGGTCCAAAGAGCTATTCCTATATGAAAGAGACGCAACAAAAGAAGATTCTCAAGTGGATCAATTTCTTCCACATCTTAGAGACCTGAGAATATGGACATGTCATGATTTGACACATTTATGGAGATCCTCAGTATCTTTCACAAATCTTACAACTCTGTACGTATGGGATTGCAATGGATTAGTAAATATATTTACATGCTCAACTGTCAAATCTCTTGTCCAACTCACAAAAATGACAATAGGAGGATGCAAGTTATTGAAAGAAGTAATAGTAGGAGAATTTAACGAGATAGAAGAAGAGATCGTTTTTTGCCAATTGAAAACTTTGGAGCTTTCTTTGTTATCAAGCCTCAGATGCTTCTGCCCAACAACACGTGCCTTCAAATTCCCATGCTTGGAACAAGTAATTGTGAGTGTATGTTCAAAATTGGAGATCTTTACTCAAGGAAGTTTAAGCACGCCAAATTTAAAAAAAATTCGAAGTTGGATTGGTAGACAGTATGTTGTGAAGGATGATATGAATTCCACCATCCAACAAATGTTTACAGAGATGGTAAATACTCATTCACAAAATCTTTTTATTTTCTTTACCATCTTTGTTATTAATATCGGTATACATGTCTTTATTACTATTACATTGGAGTAGATTAGATATGATTGTATAATTTATAATACTGTTCCATATTTGATGTATAATTAGACTAAATTATAAACACTGTTGAATTGATATTGATAATAATATAAATATATATTAATTAAAAATTCCAGTTCCCCTTAATAAATGTGTTAAATTAAATAAAACCCACCTTGTATCTTTATTACGCTAAAAGCCGCC